GAAGGCTAATGTGTATCTATTAATTATATATTATGATTTATAATAATATATAAATAATATTTGATATTTTTAATCGGTGGAATTTAATTTTTCTGTGATGATATGATTTCATTTAATTACATTATTTTACGTTTTATCTTTATTGTTTATATATCTTTATTGATATCATTTAATTGTATAAAATCTCATTACATATCATATTATATTTAAATATTATTACAATATATAATTATCTCTCTCTTTCTCTCTCTCTCTCTCTCTCTCTCTCTCTCTCTTTCTCATAACAATATTAAGTAATGTTAATCCAATAATACCATAAACGTGATTATATTCCGAAAGTTGTTATTAGTATTTATAAATATTGAATTTCAACTGTATCCTTGCAACTCAGATTTGCAGTAAGAAGTTAAATCTCTTACAGTCCGACTCTAATACCGTCTTCCACTCAATATTACATCCTGTTGTAATATGCATCGCGCGCTATTTATTTATTAATGCAAATATTTCAATTCATTCTTATTGTGTAGGAAAAATATCCCTGTACATGATGGTCATAAGACTATATTAATGATCTCTTATAATGACTTGTCTTTAAGTCCTCCAAGGAGACTGTTAAACTATGACATTTTAGAAACAGAGTTTAAAATACCACATTTTGCATAATATTAATATTATGGTATTAATTTAAATACAAGTGCAAGAATAGGCCATGGTGTACAGGAATGCTATTTACTATAATAGTATATTAGAGCTACAATCAATTAAACAGTGAAGAATCAATTTAGCTGTTATATCTTATTTTCTTAATAGATAATCTATAGAAAATATCTCTCTCTCTCTCTTTCTTTCTTTCTTTAAGTTCATTATTCATTTTTCATTAGTACCGTGTGATTTAAAAAAAAAAAAAAAAAAACAGATCAATTAACATTACATTTTGTATATAGTCAACATTATGATTATTAATTCATTTGATAATTTTATTAATGAAGCCATGACTTTAATTGTGTAAGAAGATTGTCATTGCAAAATATATAGGAAAGGATTTTTTGGCTTCACGTTGTAATATTGATGAATTTTCTTCATTTCTCACCTTAACTTTATTATATTTTCTCTTCTCACATCAATTATTAGTATAATTATATAATTAAATACATTTTTTCAGTAGATAATAATCGATGTATTTGTCGCTCAAATGTAAATAAAATCATATTCGTTTATTGTGTGTGATTTAGTTTATAATACGCAAAAATATTGTACATGGCTTAATTGTATGTACAATTCTTCTTAAAAAAAAAAAAAAGAAAAAGAAAAAGAAAAAAAATGAATTTGCACATAGAGCGTTTTACAGAAGAGTTATAAGGTATGCAAGGTAAAGTAGCCCTATATATATATATATAAAAAAAAAAAAAACAACAATAATAATAATAATAATTTACATGAATTATTCCAAATATTTATGATTTTTTTAAATTCATTTTTGACATTGAATTGTGAAAGTATATTGGAAAGTATACTTGATATTCTTCTGCAAATATGCCTGCTAAAAATTAAAGTCTGTAATAGCTATTATTATATATAAGTAAATTTAAAAAAATAAAAAAAAAATCAAGATATATATATATATACATATATATATATATATATATTGAAATGCATTGTTGCAATAATGTATAGAGGGAAGAAAAAAAAAATGATGATATAAATATACATGTATCTATCTAACTGTGTTGACCAACAAGACTAAAAGTACTTAAAATATAAAGGAATTTAAGATTGTCAAGATGTACAATATAGATCTGTGGTCAGTAAAATATCTTCAATTTAATGCAGCAGAACTGATTATCATAATCGTAATAGATGCATAGAGACTGAAATACAAAATTATAGGGGGCTACTGAAATATTATCCGTTTTGTTTTGAAAATACAACACAAATTTCATATAAGAATTAATTTCATATTGATCATGACTCTAAAAATCTCTTTGAAGTCCTTTAAATTAAAATATCTGTTATAATAGTTTCTTATCATATACATATATACATACATACATACATATACACAATATGAATATGTTTTAACAAAAATAAATGATAATAATTATATTTTCATTTTTATTTAAATATGAAAACAAATTGTTTATTACTTTCTTCAGCACATATTATTATTATTATTATTATTATTATTATTATTATTATTATGTATCTACATATTTGATTAGTTTTGTTTCATGTATATGTTGACACGACTTTGGGTTTTACTTAAAATAAGTGTGGTAGACTCATACATGTTATGATGATGTGGTTTTATTACCTACTGCAGATTTATTTGTGCGATAATTGCACATTAAACAATTTACAGAAAATTATATATTGATTAATAATCACCTTCTTTTTACATAAAAATAAATAAATCCATTTTTTAATAAACAATATTCATTATACATATATATATATATATATTTATTTATTGTTGTTGTGTACTCTTCTATTTGATTATTATACATTAATAAATTTATTCTTTTTTTTTCTCTCTCTTTCTCTCTCTCTCTCTCTCTCTCAAATATTATTTTTCTACAATTAGATTTTAAAATATATTACAATTTTAACGCAATTTAAATTCAACTGTAATAATCTTTGTACATTAGACTATTATTCCATATCACAACTTACTGCAATTATCAGATCATGTTTGTACTTCCTATTTTTTATTTATTTTTTTTTTTTTTGTGACAATTTTAATTGCGTTCAAATAAACATTCACTTTATTATATTTGAACATTTCATAGACAACTCTACAATGCAGATCACGTGAATGTAATTTTACATTTGGTAATCTTTCATTAGTTTTCTCTCTCTCTCTCCCTTTTTATATGTCTCTGTCTGTCTGTCCCTCTCTCTCTATCTTTACCTCTTTTCCTTTTGCAATTTATTTTAAATTATTTATACATAAAATAAAAAAAAAATAAGTTACTTTTTAAATATCTCTTATATTAAATATATGCAACAACAGATTACAAATAAATCTTACTAAAAACAATATTATCATTGAATAAATAATAATACTGTAAAAAAAAAAAAAAAGAATATTAAATTGACAAATTATTAACAGTTATAATTAATTAATAGTAAGGAAAAAAAAAATATATATATATATATAAATATATGCAATAATGGTTAAGAATGTTTAACTTCATAATGTACATTCTCTAATTGAATTAATTTACGAGGAAAAAATCAGTACAAAAAAAAAAACAAAGAAAGAAATGTATAAATAAAATGTAATCTCATTGAAAATATTAATCAATCTGAGCACGTGTAAAAAAAAAAAAAAAAAATGTAACTTAAATTAATGAACTATTGTGCACAAGAAGAAGAGACTGCAAAAAAATGAAGAATAATTTTGAATAATTTTGTAGGCTTTACTAATTTTGGTCGTTGTTGTTGTTGTTTTTTCTTCTTCTTCTTCTTTGACCGATAAAATAAATTTAGTATTGCATATATATTACATATAATTATACATTTTAATGTGAGCAAAGTATTATTATTATTGTAGAGTAATTCATGTGATACGATATAATTAGAGAAGATTTAACTTCTCATGTGAAACTCTTATTCAAACTTTTTCATACAGATTTTCAATATTATTTTTCCCATCGTACATTTATAAATGAAATAAACATCTGATTCATTTTTCTTTTTTGTGTATAATTGGATTGAAGTATATATTTGTCCTGCTTTTTTTTTTGTTTCTTTACAAATAAATTTAGCGAGACGAATATATATTACTATCCAATAATTTAATCGTACTGCAAATAATCTTAACGATGTATGAAAAGTAATAAATAATATATAAATATTTATTATTTTTCATACATCGTAATAAGACATTTAAGCTCCCTGAATCAATATAATATAATTAATATTGTATTATTTATGTTAATGAAATAAATTAGATATTGTATGATATATATATATATATATAAATAAAAATTATAAATTTTCTACTAGTTAAACTAATAATAAACTTAAATGTAATCATTTTTTTCAGGTACTGGAATAAAAGAAAAAAAAATTAAATAAATTATTACACACAAGTACGAAATAGGACACAATAGAGTTTTCGTAAGCAAACATAAAGTGGCACTCTACAATATATATATATATATCTTTTAAATTGCATGCATTAACAATTTATGCTCAAGCATTAATATATATTTATATACTATACCAAATATTACTGTTATTCTGATTTATTAGATTAATTTGTTGAACTGTAAATAGTACTGATAAATTGATATAACTTCTTTTATAATATATATATATATATATATAATATTTGTTCTTTTCTATACAATATATGATTTTTATTTTCCTATAATAATATAGACTTTTAGTATTATTATTATTATTATTATTATTATTATTATTATTATTTATGCAGCAGGGCAGAAAAAAATTATTTTTCGATTCTTCTTCTTCTTATTATTATTTTAAATAACATAATTAATATATTAGAATGAAATTTCATTTTGATCGGGCAAGCAATAGAAAATACTTTGTATGCATTAGTAATTATTGTATATAATGACTAAAAATGTATGAAAATATTACTAATTCAAATATAATAAATTGTCATTTTTCAATGTCCCTAATATAAGGTATGTGCAATATATTATATGAATAGTTGTTTCTTGTAAAATTTAATATAATAATTATTACGCTTAGCGCAAGCTGAAACAAATGTAAGAAAATAATGTGTGTTACTCGTATAATTTAAACTCATTTTAACAATACATTTTAAGATTTATATACATCCCCTGCTTCATTCTTTGTTTAATGTCAAACATGTAATCACAGATTAGAAACTGTGCTTAGTTACCACTTGGAATGTATCTGTGGAAGATCTCAACAGTGATATTGTACAAGAAAAAAAAAAAGTATCTATAATCTACAGGTCATTTCTTACAATATCTTATATTGATTTTTTCTTTTTTATTTTCTTTTTTTTTTTTTTGTCTTTAGGATTATCTATCTTCCATTATTAGAAGAACTGCAGGGTTGTCTTATTTTTTTCTTGTTTTTTTTTTGGTTTTTTTTTCTTTTTTTTTTAACTGAGCTTTGGAATATTCTTTTGTTTGTTTTTGTTTGTTTGGATTTTAGCTCAGTCAAAAAAAAATATTTTAAACATATGCAGGCGAAAGACTTAAAGTAAGACGTGAAATAACATTGTTGCGTATTGTAGCCCGAGTTGTCCTAGAACTTTTAATTATTTGTATCACCATGATACGGCAGTCATGGCAGACAACCATAGCAACACCTCTTAATCGTTCTGCCGCTAAACGTTGTTCAGAACTTGGACTAGCAAATGTTGAAAATGCTTTCGTAGATGTAGTAGTTGCTGGACTACCACTTCCTTTATAATTTCTATAAATATATTATTATATTGAGAAGATATAAATCGAATGAAAGCATAATATATATATATTTATGAGCTATACCTTTTTTCTGCAGTACAAGCATCAATGTCTCGCCGAGAATTAGATGAAGGAATTGAAGTTGGTGTTATAGCCGAAAGAGGTGTAGTGGCAGGTGTTGAGGAAGGTGTTATACTTCGTAATGCAGAATCTTTACGTCTAGAAGCTGGTGAAGCTGGAGCCGAACCAACTGCTCCTGTACCTCCTCTTAACCAAGAATTTTTTCCAGTTGTATCTGGTTCTGAAGATGACGGTGATAACAATAAACCAGGAGATAATAATACCACTGGTACATGAGCAAAATGTTCGGTTGGAATCCGCATCTACAATTATTATTAATAATAATTAACATTAAAATAAAAAGATTATTTTAAACAAAACAAAATAAAATAATAATAATAATAATATTAAAACATATATTTACGAACTTTGGAATAACATTTAACGCAAACTGTTCTTTCGCAAAGACGACAACGTTGACCCCATGGCCCTAATAAACCAAATCTTGTTTTTAGACACAAGAAACAAACACGCCTCTTTTCAACATCTTCTTTCACTTGGCCCTCAACAGGCAACGATTCCAATTCGGCTTTAGTTAATACGCTTCGAATATGTACGATTTCTTCTAACGTTAATGAAAGTCTTTCATCAAAGAACATATCACCCAAGGTAGGTTTCTAAACAAAATATCATTTTGTACACAACAAAGTATCATTTTCACGATATTTCTGTTGATAAATTTTAATGAATTTTGTACCTGTGTATTATCTTCTTGCCAATCAACGTTTCGATCATCGGTACTATCTTTTCCTTCAACAACCGTATTGGATCTTCGAGGTTGTCTTGCTCTAGGCTGAGGACTAAGACTTGGACTTGGATTAAGACTAATATTTGGACTAGTCCCTTGACTCAATGTTGATCCTGTTTTACTTGCATGTTGTCGACTTTGAGGTCTTGAATGTGGAAGAGATGTTGTCCCAGTAAAAGATGTTAGACCAACATTACGCTTGGCTGCATGTTTTCTTGCAGAAGCTCTTCTAGAAGGACACTGAGTTGCAAGATCGTATGCTGTGAATTGAACAAATAATTATTTATAATATTTAAAATGTTTTTACATATGTGATGATGATGATGATGCGCGTATTACTTATCGATTTTTATATATATCATATATATATATATATATATATATATAAATATTTGATTAAAAAGATGATTTATTTAAACGCGTTTAAAATGAAAACATTGAACTTTAATGAATAATATAACAAAGGTCAATTAAATAATCTTTCATGCATTAAAGGTTAAAGTGTAAAATTATACATGCGGTTAATTGTTACATAAAAAAGGGTTTCTCTCTTGAAAATATATTATAATTATTATTATTATTATTATTATTATTATTATTATTATTATATACGGATATTATTACATTCCAGTTGAGTATCGCAGAAACGGTGATACTCGTTTCTCGTAAGCCGAAGACCACCAGTTTTTTTCCAAGGATTCGCTGAATCCACATCTTCGTCGTCTCTTTCATGATCATGATCTTTATTATCATTTGGAATACCACGATTTTCAAATGGATAATCATAGGCCTCATCTTCTTCATCGAATCTTGTTACATTTAATTCATCATTATAATCCTCATCATCTTCATCTTCCGCATCAAGCTATATATATATATATATATATATATATATATATAATTTACAAATATTTTTTTATTTTAATTGAAAATTAATGAAGAAAAAATACTAAGAAAGATTTGTATGAAATCCCACCTTCAAATCGAAATCAACGGGGATTATTTTTCTAGTCCGTCTGGTATTTAAACTATCGGAATCTCTACGAGCAGGTTTCGGTACGGTCGGCGACCCATTTTCTTTCATGTTATTAATGTCGGATGTCTGTTCTGTAAATTGAATTTTTCAATCTTAAGTTACTCTTTAATGCAATTAGAAGCAAGAAGCGTCAAAAGTATAGGTATATACTTGTCAGGACTTAATGAAATATGACTGATGCGACATGTTATATGTTATCGTTGTATATTTTTATTATTTATATCGAAATTTAATTAAATTGTTGATGAAATAAAAAATTCGATTTTATTTCTATACATAAATATAATAAATAACAAATTGAAAAGTATATTGTACGAATTAATAAGATAAATGGCGTTAAGGTATCTTTCGAACGAGATAAATAAAAATGGTGTAACATGAATATATGTATATATACATATATATATAATACATCGAAATATATTTGTAATTTTTAGTACAAAAATTAAATTAAAAAAAAAAAAAAAATTACCGATCAAACAACAATAACAAAAAAACACTAATTATACGTCTGTGAATAAAAAAAAAAGATATTTTTTTAATTAAATCAGATAATAAATAGCAGTAGCAGTAACAGCAGAGGCAGCAGCAGCAGCAGCAGCAGCAACAGCAGAATTTCTTCGTAAACGTTGAAACGAAGAATAATATGTTGGTACTTCGTCAGATTTAATTAAATGCGATGAGATGTGATGATTACCTGTCGTCGTAATGCGTCTTCTACGCGACTTACGATTCCTATTTCCTGGTACACGATTCTCAAATTTTCCGATCCTTTGACGTGGTTGTGGTACTGGAACAAGTCCAGGAGTAACCCGACTAGTTTTCGTCGTCGTCGTCGTCGTCGTGGTCTGATCATCGGACTGCAACCATTGAGCCGCAACATCCTGTGCAGGTTCTTGTTCCTGTTCTGGTTGAATTGGTGGCACTTCACCTAACACTATTCTACGCGATTCTCCACCCACAGCTAGTAACATCACTCTTTCTCTAGTTCTTTCTCTTTTTGATATATCCCTTATTATCATTTAGAATTGAGGATAATTTCAAGTTTCCTTTTGATTATTCCGCGACTTTAAAAAGAAAACAAAAAATATCACTGATATTTCAAAATCCCTTATGGAAGAACTCAATTATTTCGAAATACAATAAAGAAATTTGTTGAAAAAATAAATAATCCCTTTTTCAAGACGTGCATATTAAAATAATATCGTCATTATCGTTTCGTTCTCGTTTCATATTTTGTATTCTTTCAAAGATAATCGGCGACCCTTCCCACAAAATACACAATTCTTCGAACGATCAAATGTTTGTTCTCTTCCGCACGTATTATTTATCCGTATTGACTCCTTTTGCAGATATATATATAAGTATAAAAAGAAAGAAAGAAAAGTAAAACCCAAAAAAAAAAAAAAATAGAAAAGTAATTGGAACGTTCCCTCTTCGACAGCAGCAGCAGCAGCAGCAAGGGACAAAATGTTAAAGGCACGTGCTCTCGTTGTTATACGGATATATCTTCGACGACGTGCTTGACCTATTCCGTACGAGTTAAGAGTTTGGATTAGACTTTTTCACGAACGAACGAATTCTCCCCCTTTTTTTCTATGCGTACAAGTGGAACAAATGAAAACTAAGGGAATTAACTAACTGAAGAATGAAGAGTTAACTACTTCTGGTCGATTAGAAAGTAAGTGAAAATAAAGGGTGATTATGGGAACGTCTGTTAGGTAAGCGTCGATCGTGATCTCGCGTTGTTACTACTATGCTCAGATCGCGACTTGGTGAATGTCTCAGCCGCCACAGTCGCCACCTCGTCATCTCTTTCTCTTTCTCTTTCTCTCCACTGGTGGTGCACACCACTTTCGGTTATTGATCGTCGACCGAGTCTCTCCCTTTTTACAGTCAGTCAGCTAGCTAGCCAGCTAACCAGCCAGCCAACCAACAGCGCCCCAAATCATGATTCATTCAGACCAATTCTGATCTAAGCAGACCCACAGGTGAGCAAAAAATACGATGCAGTTATTCTACCCTACATCTATAACATTTTAAATAGCACCCATGGGCTGCTGCTCCATATATATATATATATATAAACTCTGTTACATAACTTATCTATGTAGGTATCTATCGAATCATCGAAATTGAATATAAATCCTGTCTCTACAGACATGCCACGTTGATCTGGCATACTTTCATTTTGATTACGTTAGTTTTTAAAGTAACCGCCTAATCATTTCCATAATCGTGCAAGCGTGTACACATTCACGCTAGAATTGCGCGCGTCGTTCGCTGCGCATGAACTACAGTGATTTTTTGCTTCTTTCTACTTGTTTCTATATATATATATATAAACATGCATCTATATATATATATATATGTATACAGCATACATACTCGTGTATAAGGTACCTGCCACACGTGCACACCGTACGATCTGTCAGTGAATTCAGCATCAACGCGCATACGTGACCTCATAAAAGAGATGCATGTGTCTCTCTGCTGCAGTACACTCAATACTTTAATCTTTCTCTTTCTCTAATTGTTTTTTTTTCTTTTTTTTTATTACAATCGTTTATACAATGATAATTAACATTTAACGCATTTTTATTATAGGATATATATGAGATAGGATAAAGCTGAGTATGTTTGTCGATGACGTTTATTATTTACGTGCATAGGTGTAGCGATGTTAAATGTTAACGTATCGCAACGTTCAAAGTCTTTCAACATTAAAAGCGAAATATATACATATATCGTATAAATAATCAAATATTTACACTCACCATTCGATCGTGTTCTTTCTTCAATCGTAGGAGCTTGCCGTCTATCACGTGATGATCGCAAAGGCTTCGGGGGTTTCTTTATACTCTCCATAAGCAATTCTCGTAAAGTGCATTCTTTTCGTAAAGGAGGTAATTGTCTCTCTGATGCCTGTTAATATTTGAAATATCGAATATTACAATTTACATCTATTCGATTATTCAAATATACATTTTTCTTGACAATGATTTTGCAACAATGTTGTTTTCTCAATCAAATCAACATTTCCTTTTACCTTTTTCAAAGGTGGTCGACTTCGAATAAATTCAAGAATAATAGCATGAACATCCTTCTTTGGATGAGGTGTCGGTGATGGTGTCTTTTTCAGACGATACCTTCGTTCCCGAATATCATCCATTAAAATCTCGTAAGGTGTTAATTCAAATTCTGCACCTCGTCTCTGCCCTTGTCCTCGTGATTGTAAATTGGCTTCTACTTTTTTCAATTTAACACCCTTCCTTAACTCGCTTATAACTTGAACCCAAAATCTTGCCTGTGAATATATTATATACCATAATTCAATGATACTTTATATATGTGTATATATATATATAAAAATTTAAACAAATATGTTGCATCAATACTGCGCAACGAAAAACGAATGGAATTCCTGTAAATGTAATTTTGTTTTTGAAATATAACACGTGTTACCTTTGAAAATGTATACTCAATAATTTTTATATTACAATTTCAAAAGTATCAAAGTTATTTATGTAATCTGTTTTACAAAATTTATCAAATGTGTGTATATATGCATTACGTATATATATATATGTATATATGTATATATATCTAATCATGCGTCATGCAAATTTGTTTATGATTATGCTACTATCATCAGTTTATATCATACACACAATTATCATTAATGACGTACTTGTATAGCTCTCCAAATCCTAATGTCAGTCTATAATAGCAGACACACAAATGAATAGACGTTAAAAATCTTATCGCTGAAAACAAAAAACACTAGCATACATCGATGCAACTTATTGTCTTTTTCTTTTACATATTTACTTAATACCACAGTTGAACACAAATAGCGTGGGATAAATTAAATTTGACAAAATAATTATTAAGAATTTATCTTATGGTTCTTTTTTAAATAAAACTTACCCAGTCATTGAAACCAAATCTATCTAACTCGTGCAATGATGTTGACCCATGTTTTGCATTATCTGTAGTAGGCGATGGTTTTTCTCTATCGTGGAGCTTGTTTGTTGCAACTTTTCTTAAAAATTGAGATAATTCCAATGCCTCTGCTACATAAGCTCTTATTACAGCACGATAATGCATTTCTGCTACTTCGGTAGTAGTCTCCATATGTATGGTACATAACTGTAAAAGTTATTAATTTAAATTTATTTTACATACAGATACTCACAGGTATGGTTTTATATTTAAGAAAATATATTAAACTTACATTCAAAACATGCTTCAAGGAAAATGTAGATGAATTTCCTTCATAAGAGGAATTAGTTTCTTCCATAGCGAATTCGTCTGTATCCATTTCTCCTGAATCTCTCTCGATACCTTCATCATCTGTTTCTTGCAAACGTTCTGTACTTGTTTCGCAATCAGTTCTAGAATCTATATTAACAATAATTCATTAATAAATAATTATTTGAAATATATGATTACAATATATATATATATATATATATGTATTATAAAATATTTAATTATGATTCAACCTTGCTCTGAATTTGTCATTAGTGTAATCAGCTTTTCCAAAGCAGGGGGCAAAGTTCTCTCTTCTTCTTTCTTAGAGCCAAAATCAAGAGCTTTAAAAATTATAGTCCCCAAATAATAAACCGCCTATAAAAATAAAATATAATATTAATTTTTTTTTTTTTATTATACTATTAGAAAAGTAATATAAAATGAATACTTTGTTAAAATTGATAAATTTTTGTTTATAACTTACTTTTCGTTCAGAGACAATTGAACATTTTGTATCTAAAAGAAATAATGAAATAATAAGATAAATTAGTAAAATAATTTGAACACTTATATAAAGATTAAAGAATAAGAAAATATGATATACATATATAAATACCTATAACAACATCGCCATCCTTGTGAAGAAATATTTGTGATAATTTACATAACTTATAACATTTATTTTGTGGAAGAGAAGACAAGGTTTTAGCTGCCTGATAACATAATGCCCATGCTTGTTCTTCTCCAACAGGACCATTGAAGGATGACAATATATTATGAAGATTTAATCGGCCTTTTTCATCAAGTTTGCATAAAGTCGTACTTGATTTTTTAGACATTTCTATTTCTGATTTGACTTCTTCATCTGAAGCCTCGCTACTTTCCTCTCCTGATATTGAATTTGTCTTTGCGGTAGTCATTTTTGATTTCTATAATTATAAATATATAAGAAAAATAATTATTTATCAAATTTATTCAATTAAAAATCAAATGTCAAATTCTACTAAAAACAAATTTTTTTTTTTTTTTTTTTATGAAACAAATAAATATGTATTTTCATATTTTTTTGTAATTAATAATGAAATATTATTGAGAAAGAAAAATAATAATTGTCATATATTAAAAATATACATTTAAATTAATCGTATCAGATAATGAAAAATTTTTTTGCTCATGTCTAATTTGTATGCTTACATTGTAACAATTAAATGTAATAATCGAACATCATTGATTGAAATAATTTGTTTATACAGTAGTAATATAATGGTTTTAACCGTACACTGCAATATATGACCTTTACATTTGTACGTTTAAAATTTTGATATTGCATGAAACAATTATGTACGTACAGCGACTATAATATTGTCCGTGTTTCACACGTAAACACAGCCATTGAAGAAAAATTGAATTACTAATAAAATAATTGTACTATTTATTAGTCGTCAGGGAATTAAATATATTCTTTAAAATGGTGAGATACTTATTACGCTTTTTTTTTTAAATAGTATTCCACTATCAACTACTGTGACACGAACTGACTACAGAGATATCAAACCATTAAACTAAATTGAGAAAGATAGATGAAACGAAAGCTAAAAAATAATAAATGCTTCACTAACGCACTCTGACGGACTAATTACGTATTAGTGTCACGTGACATTATTATCAAATTTTATGACCAATGAATGGGATAATACCGTATCGTTTATATTTATGAGTTCAGTGCTCTTTGTAATATTTCATGGTTTTTATTATAACCTGAATGAAAACCTAACCTCTTTATTTTCTTGTCTTCGTTATTTCCTTATTTGTAAGTATATATATATACATAGTATATTTACATATTTTTAAATAATAAAATGACACACACACATTATCTTTTTATAGAAACAATATAAATTATTTCATAATATAATTTTCAGTAAAAATAATTTATTAAAAGCACAAAATGGACGAGATTCCAAATATTGTTGTTCGTTTAGCAGTAAATAGAGCAGACATGAGTATAGTTACAAGTGAAAATGTACAACCACGATTTTATACTCCTGGAGAAGAAATATCAAGTCAACCTAATTATTTAAGGTAATAAAATATAATAAAGTAATGAACCGTCAGATATACAAATGTATACATCAAAAAATTGAATATAATTTTATTAGGGGTCATGGTACTTATGTTGATGATGAAAATACTCTGAGAGCATCGGTTGCTGGTGTTTTAGAAAAAGTTAATAAATTAATAGCAATACGACCATTGAAAGCACGTTATCAAGGTGAGATTGGTGATGTTGTTGTTGGACGTATAACTGAAGTACAACAAAAACGTTGGAAGGTTGATACAAATTCTAAACTTGATTCCGTTCTATTACTGTCAAGTGTAAATTTACCTGGAGGTGAATTGGTAAGAAATGTATTATTTAATTAAACATTATATTTTATTAGTGTATACTAAATTTGATCATTTTAACAGAGAAGACGATCTACAGAAGATGAACAAACAATGAGACGTTATTTACAAGAAGGTGATCTTATTTGTGCAGAAGTACAAAGTACTTTTGTAGATGGTTCTTTATCATTACATACAAGAGTTTTAAAATATGGTAAATTGTCTCAAGGGATAATGTTAAAAGTACCACCTGCTCTTATAAAAAGGAAAAAAATACATTTTCACAATTTAGAAAATGGAGCTAGTTTAATATTAGGAAATAATGGCTATGTATGGATTGGTGCTAACACACAAGAAAGTGATAAATCAGGTGGTTTTACCCAAGACTTATCCAAAGTACCTCATGAAAATCGTGAAGTATGTGCTCGCCTTCGAAACTGTGTTTTAATTTTGGCACAATGTAATATGAAATTAACTGACACATCAATAACGTATGCTTATGAAGAATCTATGAAATATAAGGTGAGCGAATTATTGCTACCTGAACCAGTAGTTGACATATCGTTACTAACACATCGAAGACTTATACAAGTTTAATAAAAACGTATTCAAGAATAATTCTTTGTTATTTAATCCATCAAGTTGTAATTTATATTTGAATAAAATCTTACACTTTTGTATTAAGTCAATTTATGTTAATTGTTGATTTTTATGAAAATTTATGAGGAATAAATTATATTACCATGAATAGGATATATGATATAAAAGCAGACATAATATGAAAATAGTTCTGTTGATTGTAACTACTTTACAAAGTGAAGACAATAGTAATCAATAATAGTTTTCCTATATTACTAGTAAAAGAATGTATATATATACAATACTGCAGTATTTCATTAATAACTATACTTTAGTTAAATAGCCCTTTATAAGGTGTTTGCATAGAAATAGCTAAAGTATTGATTAAACAAATACACTTGGAAACGAGTAGCCAAAGTGGACAAACATGGATGCATGCTTTACTGCCTTTGACAAGGATGAAGATGGATTTCTATCTCTGTCAGAATTTAAACTTATATGCTGTGCACTATTTCGTAATAATCTTGGAAATATTTATACGCTTGAAGAAAAACAATTACAAGAAATATATTCTATCTTTGATCTAAATCATGATGGAATGATAGATAAAGAAGAATTTGAAGTGTGTATAAATATGTTTATATACAGGGTGATTCGTCAACTCTTGCCACTTAAATAGCTCCGAAAGTATCATAGTAGTAGAAAAGTGAATAAGGAAAAAGTTGCAGTTCAGGGCTACAATATGACGTTAGTATGTACGTCATTAGTATGGATCATTTTTGATATTTATTGATGAACTTTGTTTCTTCTTTTAAATGCAATGTCATTGGATTTATTGCAATTTATTTTTATACAATGGCTGATAAGACGAATTCAGTAATGTGCAGCACTAAATTCAAAACCTGATAATGACCAAATCATAATATCATATTGTAGTCATAAATTTGTCATGCAAATGTTTTCTTATTCACTTTTCTGCTACTATTATACTTTCAGAGTTATTTATGCGGCAAGAGCTGACGAATCACCAGCATGGTGAACCTAAATGCATAAGTAAGTAACAAGTATTTTAATAATTTATTATAATGTATTTAGATATGCTGGAATCTTTGGATTAAAGTTTGCACGCGTCCAAAAAATGCTTTCCTTATTGTGGATGTACAGAATGACTTTATATCAGGATCTTTAAACATTAAACATTGTGCTGCACAACATGACGGTTTAGAAGTAGTTGAACCTATTAATCGTCTATTGGATACAGTACAATTTGATGCTGTATTTTATTCGCTTGATTGGCATCCTGTAGATCATGTATCCTTCATTGATAATTTACCTCTTAGGTATCATTTTAATAAGACTTTTTAATATATTATTTTAATCAAAATTCTTCATATATATAACATTATTTATTCTCTATAGGGAAATTGATGAAAGCAATGGTATAACTAAGGAAATGATCAAAGTATATGACACTGTAACATTTAAAGGACCACCTACAATAAAGCAAAGGTTATGGCCCCGTCATTGTGTTCAGGATTCATGGGGTGCTGAACTTCATAAAGATTTAAAAATTGTTAAAGATGCTATAAAAATTTACAAGGGAACTAATTCAGAAGTAGATTCATATTCCGTATTTTGGGATAATAAAAAATTAACAGAAACGACATTAGCTTCTCAATTACAAGAGATAGGAACTACAGATATATATATTTGTGGATTGGCATATGATGTATGTGTAGGTGCTACTGCTGTTGATGCAATGACAAGTGGTTATCGTACTATTCTTATTGATGATTGCAGTCGTGGAGTTGATTTAGTGGATATTGAAAAAACAAAATCAAATGTAATAGCTAATCATGGAGTAATAGTAAATTCAAGTCAAGTCAAAGCTATGGTCGAAGGAAGAGACAGAAGACCAGAACTTGGATATAAACTTGCTCTGGAAATTAAACAGAAATTAAATATTTTAAATGATGTTGACAAATAGCTTGCTTCTACTGTAAAAATAAATTAGATAGAAAGAGTGTATAAATATATATATATAGAGAGAGAGATATATATGTACATAATAATTGTACATTGATATGTATAAAGACTTAGTAGACTATTATTGAAAATTGAAAGATAGATAGATATAATATAAAATAATAAAAAATACTATATTTATTATAAACTATAAAAAGAGAAGAATATATACATTAATAATCAGCTGCATTACTGGCCAAATAGTCACGTCGGCCAATATTTGATGCTTGTTTATTTTGAATAGCTTCCAGTTTAGGACATTCAGTAATTCTATGTCCAAGACCACCACAATAACTGCAACCACGTTCATCTATAAAATTAAATAAAAATATAGATTTCTATTGAAGTAAATAATGAATAATTAATCAAATTTGTAGATATTATTTTACCTCCCAAATTAAGATATTTCTCATTTTCAGAACAAAGTTCAAGTAGAAATGGTGGAACTTTTTGTTTGGCTTCCATTAATAAATGTTTAAGATCAAGCAAGACAGATTCATCATTTGCTTTATTAATAAACGTTGTTGCTATTCCAGTTCTCCCTGATCTTCCAGTTCTTCCAATTCGATGTACTGAAACATAACAAATTATTTCCTTAATTGCATGCTCACGTGAGAAGATATATATAATATTATTTTGAAAAATGTATGGTATTATTTTGAAAAATGTATTAATAATTGGATAATTCATATTACCATAATTTTCTACGTCATCTGGCATATCATAATTTATAACGTGCTGTACATCTGCAAAATCAAGACCTTTAGAAGCAACGTCTGTCGCAACTAATACATCTTTTCTACCAGCACGAAATGCTTCAACCGAACGTGATCTCTCTTCTTGATCTGAAATTGAAAAATCCTACAAGTGAAGAATTTTGTAAAATATTTGCCAATTATTATGACATGATGTTTAATTAAATATTATTATTACCTTTTCCTCCATGTATTGCTACAGCTTCTACACCTTTTAAAAGTAAATACTCATGAATAGCATCGACATCTTGTTTCTTTTCAGCAAATATAAGTACAGGTGGTGGAGTTTTTTGAAGACATTCCAAAAGGTATACTATCTTTGCCTCTTGTTTTACATATTCTACTTCTTGTATAACATTCATTGAAGCAGCACCTGCACGACCAACATTTATTGTTACAGGTTTGACTAAAGCTGAACGTGCAAAATTTTGAATCTTTTTTGGCATAGTTGCAGAGAACAGTAAGGTCTGTCTTTGGCCCTATATAGAATACAAATATTGTTCATTTTCACGTTAAAATCTTAGTAATAATTTATACTTTAAAATTAATTTATTATACATACTCTGAAGAATGAAAAAATTGTCCTCACGTCCTCTTCAAAACCCATGTCTATCATACGATCTGCTTCATCCATACATAAATATCTGCATACACTTAATTTAACCATTTTTTTGTCAAGCATATCCATAAGACGTCCTGGAGTAGCTACCATTATATGTACACCTCTGCAGATATTAAATTATCATTAGTAATTAAGTACATGTTAATAGTTAAGATAATTGTATCTTACATACTTATTAATAACTTCCAAAGATTCAGATACAGGTACTCCACCAATTGCTAAACAACTACGTATATCAGGACAACCAGCTTGTCTTAAACTATTCGTGTAATGTCGAATAATGTCATAAGTTTGTTTTGCTAATTCTCGTGATGGACAAATTATGAGACCTATAAGAAAGGAATAACATTATAAAATGATACTTTAATTAATATATTGCTATATTAATTATCTAAGTAATTACCATAGGGTCCTTCGTTTCGTATAAAAGGCATTCCCACTTCTTGTTCTAAACAAAACATTATAATGGGTAAAACAAATACCAATGTTTTACCACTTCCTGTAAAAGCTATACCAATCATATCACGACCAGAAAGCCTGTTAAAAAATTATGAATTAATTATGCAACGATATTAAAGATTAAAATCAATAAAAATAGGTTAAGTTTATTACTGACACAGTAGGTATTCCTTGTACTTGTATTGGGGTAGGCTTAGTAATTCCTTTCTGTTCTAAACCATTCAAGATACCTCTGTGAAATTTCATTTCTTTAAAGCTTTTTAATGGAGGAGGTACGTCATCTCCTTCTACCAAAATTCTTAATTTTTTTCTAACTCTTTCATGCCTTGCTTCTCCAAGATGAAGTACTAATTTTGGAGGTGTCCAACTAGTTTTAATTGGATCTTCATATTGAATACCTTTTGCCAATTCAGCAACACCCATTAAAGCTTTATTTTCAGCTACACTTTCCAAAATTTTTTCTTCTTCCTTTAATTGTTTTTCCATAGCACTCTCTTTCTTAGCTGTATATTATAATATAACATATAATAATTTAATTATTTTATTCAATGGTCATTTTACATTTATTTTTGAACATGAGTTACCTTCTGCTAATTTTTTTAATTCTGTATGTTGATCCAAAAGAGAAATATTAGATTTACGGCCCCAAACTTGACCGTTGTCATCATCTGCATCATCTTTTTCATTTTCACTGCTACTCTTTCCAATACCACCATTTGCACTTTCTTCTTTCAACTGATTGATTTTACCAAGTTTAATAAGCTGTTGTTTTTTTCGTTCTTTAATAGGTATATATGGTACATAATCATCATCGGTGTCAGAGAAAGTATTTTTTTCTTCTTCATCATCTCTTCTGTATCTCTAAACATATTATTCAATATTACATTATTTATATATATACTTACTTGCATACAATTAAATAATAAAATAATAAATGTAACCAAATTTATTTACCTTTCTAGGAGGTTCACTGTTATCAACCTGACTCATAATGATTATTCACAAATCACCATTAAATAATTATTATTTAATAAAACAATATTACTTTGTTATAAAGTACTGACACATTATAATTAGGTTAACAAAACTGTATTTTAATAAATTATATTATTATTAAAAGTAAATAATACGTTAGAATACAATACTTAATTAATTAAATATTGACAATATATGTTAGGTTATGTGATGCCAATCCAAAACATTGATGCACAACTCAGTGATGTAAGGACGTGCGATTTTCTCTCACGTGGGAGTCTTTGTGCGCATGCGCATACTGACGTCACAGCTCGGCTCGAAATTTGAAACATTTGTAGTCAATAGAAAATATTGAATAGAAAATAATTAATAATTAAATAGTTACGAACAATTAACAATTAACTAATTAGATATCTTATAAAATCTATTGTTTTTTTTTTTAATATCATTTGCAGCTACATACATAAATTACATTTTTATATAAAGTTTCTTAGACTATACAATAATTTTTTACCATTTATTAATGATAATACTACGATGTATTCTTGTAGAATGATCAAATACATTATTAGGATTTAAAATTTGCGAGTAAAAATTTTCTATCGTACAAATTTCTTCATACAACTCTTCCGTAGTCATTTCTAAAATATTTGCACATTCATTTAACAACCAACGAAAACTTCTTGGTAAAACTTTTTCAAATAATTCAAAATTTTTTGCTTTTACACGACTGAATATACAATGATACATCCAATAATCTTCACAGGGACGAAAAAATTTCATATTTTTAGATTCCTGTTCCTTAGAATCTATGTCATTGTTTAAAATACATTTTGTCTCATTTATATCCAGTTTTTCGTCCAAAATGGTATCATCATTTAATATGGATATGTCAGATAAATTGAAATAATTATTCTCATTATTTAAATCGCTTTTAAAATTATATTCTTCATTAAATACTTGTTCTTCTTTTATTGGTATATCACATGGCATTTCGGGTAAATTCATTTCACCAATATTCAATAAACTCAAATCATCATCATCATCATTCAAATTTATTCCAGTAAAATTATGTAAATCATAAAAATTAAGATTATCTATTACATTAGGTTTCATAAGATTATTCATAATTTCTTGTGCTTCTGAAGCTTTCATGAATTGTCCTTTCGCATTACGATATCTATGCATTTTACGTTTCATAAAATCTTCAATACTTTCCACATATTGTGGCTTAAGTATTGACTCATGCTCGTATTTTGATAATTCGATATTATATTTCTGATAAAAATTTATATCAGTTATATCAGAATTTGGTTTAATTGTGTCATTAAAAAGTGTTACATTATCATCATCATCCGATGTAGAATTATTTTCTTGAGGTATTAATAATTTACCATTTGGTAATACATCTTCAAATATAAAATCTTTATGATCGTTATGAATAACATTTGTATTCATTTTTAATAAATTTCGTACGTCATCAAAATACTGTAATTTTGTATCATCAATTCTAGTATAGCAAGGTGTATTTTTATCTACAAAAGTAACAAAATTTTCTATTTTTTTTATATCCTCTTCTTCTGACTCGTTAATATCACATACTTTAACATCTTCTTTAAGTTTTGCCACTTCTTCCATCTTATATCGTTCAAAGTAAGGTACAATTTTATTGATAAAATGTGATCTAGAGTTTATAATTTTCAAATTTATGTTACATTGTGTAGCAAGTTGCTGAAAACTATAAAAATAAAAAATATAATAAATCAACTATTGGATATAAATACTGTTACCATAAACATTGATAAATAAATATTCATATTTACTCACTCTTTGATATGTGTCATATATCCAACTTTGGTTTCATAAAAGTCAGATCTTAAAATATCAGGAATATCGTTGGACGAATTTTCCCACAGTTGTTGAAGATAAGAATAAAAAGGCGTCAATGATGGATAAAATAATATTACATCATCTGATTCTGGTTTATTATTTTGATTTAACTTTTCAAAACACCGCTTCATAGCATCAGAAAGATCTCGTGGAAGGAGATGTTTATAATTAATAATTTCTGGATTTTCTCTTTCTTTTTTTGAATTAATAAAATCCATGAAATTCAGATACATATTATTGCTCAACGGTAATGTTGGATTGTATTTCAATTTTGTTGGATAATGTTTATTAACCAAAATATTTTTTCTGCATTCGATATATCTTTGCCATTCGTAAAAACTGAATAATTTTTTATCAAGTACATTATGTTTGTTGCCAACACTGAAACAGAAATAAAAGAAACATATAAAAATGACATATTCTAAGAAATCAAAAAAAAAAAAAAACAAATAACAATATTATCAAAAAAATTATTACTAAAGAATATTCATATTAACAAAAATCATTTTCATCGAGATCTTTATAAACATCTATTTTTCGTTCATTTAAATCCGCTCCAAATATCATCTGATTATTTTTAATAACAGCATATGGCATTCTTTTATAAGTAAAATATATATCCCAAGATCCATCTTTTTTAAGTACAATACCACCGCTATTTTTCGTCAATTTAATCAACATGTAATCAAGATTTCTCTGTAATGCAGTTCTTGGATCGTAACCTTGATTAATATCATCTGCAATACGTCGAGCCATTCCAAGCTTTATTATAGATTCTCCATGACCCGTTAAAGAACATCCTACATTTTTATCAGCATAAGTTCCACATCCCAATAATGGAGAATCTCCCACTCTTCCAACCATTTTTCTATTCAAGCCACCCGTTGTTGTTCCTGCAGCAATACTATAACCATCCCATGCCACACAGCCAACAGTTCCCACGCTACCTACAGACAGTTAGTGTTAAAATAATAATTGTGATCATCAATTGTAAGATTGGTTGGTTATTTCATTACTTTGCAATGCTTCAATATTTTCTAAATCCTCAATATTATAATCAGCTACAGAATTTCCTGTTTCACTTAATTTATAAGCAAGATATGCTGTTGGTGCAACCATATTACCATGTGATAATAAATTTATATTAGCAAATTGTGCCAATTGTTTGGCACTATCTCCAACAATTATATTATTTGGGAGATTCTCCAAAACATATTTAGCAAGTGATATAGGATGTTCTATATCTGAAACTGCTGCTACTGAGCCACATTCAAATTTATCTCCATCCATAATACCTGCATCCATTTCTACTTGTCCTATATTTAATATATATATATATATATGTTATTATTTAAATTTATGTATATTTTTTAAACAATAGGTACATATTTCTACCTATTTCATTCAATACAGATCCATAACCACAATTAAAGAATTCATCACATTCCAACCACCATAAAGCTGCTTCTACAGCTTCTATAGAATTTCCTCCATTTGTTAATTTTTTATATCCTTTAGATGCAGCTTTTTGACAAGCTGTTATCTTTTCAATTACCATAAAATCTTTGCAATCTCCTATACCACCATGTACAATTATACATGGTGAATTTATATCCTTTGGACAAATGCACTTATTCTCTTCCCATTTATTACATATTACATTTGAGAATGATTCATTTATTTCATTTTTTTTCTTAAAGCTATTATTTCTTTTAGAATGATTTCTTTTTATATACATAATCAATAATTTTAGAGCAGTATTTTCACATAGAATTTGATACAAATATAAATGAATATTTAACCTACTTAATTAAACTGTCATTTTTCTTTTCAAATAAAAAAATTGAAGGCTGAAATAATATTAATAAATAATTTTAATATGTAACTTACATATTAATATGTTCTGCAATCTTACTAATGGTATACTCTGTTATACCATCTAATCCAAATAAAATTTTTAATACCACTATAATGAATGCCATAGCACGTGCTTCATAGTTAGGAATATCTGCCTTTTTAAAATCAAAAATCATTGTTGGAGGTGAGAGAGCAATAAATCTTTCAGCATACAGTAATATACCTCCTAAAATAGTTTAGTAATGAATAACTGATAATAGTACATTTTTTTTTAAATATTTATATATGTAAAAAAAATATTCATACTTGGTAATGCTAATTCCTGACAATAACGACTGATCAATGGTAAAAGGTTTGGAGAACTCAATTTCCTAATTCCAATAAATTTTGCCATCCTTGCAGCTATCTTTCTGATACCTTTATGAGTTATCTCTGTATTTTGTGTTAAAAAATTCACATCATTTTGAGATAGTTTCACCTCGGACGGAATTAAATGATCTAATTTATAATAAGACATATGACCCTCTCTAGCAAACCTAGTATATAACATTATAAATGCATACAATAATTAATATAAACAAGATTTATTTTAAAATTAAATAAAATGTAGAAATATAATAACGTACCTTAACATATCACCTAATTGTATAGGTTCTTTATGAATTCTCATAGCTAGATAAATAATAGCCCATAGTTTAATTCCCGTAATTACATATGGACCTGTTTTATATTGAGAAGTAGTATGTTTTTCTCTGTATTTAACTCTTTTAATATATGAAACATTTTTAGATAATTTTGTTATCTTTTTCTTTTCTTCTTTTGCAAATTTGTTAAAGGATATTCTATATAAAAAATATTCATTAATAAATATTTTAGAATAAATGCAGATTTTATATTATAGTTCGAAATATAACATACCTTTCTTCTTTATCGAATGATTTTACTGTATTAGTACTGTATCCACTAACTGCACTAACAGCATCAGAATTTGTCTGGGATTTCAGGTATTTCTCATAATCTGAATTTATCAAGAGTTTCTGTTAAAATCAATTATAAGAATAACATTATTCTAATATAATTTCATTAATCTATTTTTAAAGGAAATAATTATAAAATACAATACGATACTTTATTTCTGTGAAATCCTTGTGAACCACCACCAGGTGTACTAGCTGAGTAAGCACTAGTACTACCAGAAACCACAGATTGATTTGTACTATTTGTATGTAATTTATTCCGTTTAATAATCTTCTTTTTTGATTTAACTTTACCATAAATTATTTCTGCATCACTGAAATGAAATAATCATAAATGTAAAAGAATTTTTCAACACATATCATAATATGGTCATTGCACTATAAACCAACTTTTTATGATACTGTTTAGAAAGCCTTGGTAAAGACTTTTTGCTTATTGAAGTAAATGCCACTTCAAGTTTACTTAAGTAAGTTGACCATAATTGTAATACTGTAAATTTGATATCTGGCGAAGCACCAAGTTCAATCATTTCTTCGGTTAGTCCAATTAAAGCAAAATTATATATTTCCCACGTTGTCCAACCCTGAGTTTCATCTGTATAGTCATTTAAATTTATTTTTATATATGTTTCATTAATATTATATAAAATAATTTCAATAAATATTCTTAGCAAATAAAATAAAGTAAAATTAGATATAAAATATATATTAACTATGTTTTCGATCTGCATGCTTGATTTTAATCTTTCGCAGTTTTGTACTTGGATCTACACGCATATCAAATATTTCTTCTCTTATTTCCTGAAAAAATAACACGATAAAATATAACGTTGCATCTTAACCTTTAAATAGCTTTGTATAAATTAATTTTTATATATACCTCATTTCGTGTTTGACAGTTTTCACAGTAATAAAAACCAGCATCTTTGAAGAAATTTGTACACCCGCAAATTCGGCATATTGAATTTACTTTGACATTTTCTTCCATTGCAACTCTTTATTTTAGATAAACACAGTATACAGTACACGTGGTAACCAACTTATGACACTTTAGATCCCGCCTTAGCAATCCCCACTCTTTTTATTGTAGGCGTAACAATACATTTCTTATGAACAAATGAAATCGTTTATAGGTTTCGCTACTAGAGTGTGCTACGGTCACGTTCGTAATGCATTCGTAACACGCATGCGCAATTCCTAATTTTCAGTAAGGTATTTACTTCACTCAAATATGGGGTATCGTTAGACCTCCGTGACAATTGAAATACAGTAGAAATTACAGGAAGAAGACATTTTTAAAAGAAATAACATATTTACATGGAAATAAATGAATATATATTTTTTACACTCGAACTAGGCTGCTAGTAATCTATCTTCTGGTTTCTGCACTACAATTCAATATATTATATAACATTACGCGACTCACTTTACTTTAACGAAAAACGCGGGAAACGATAGAGAAGGACCTCTTATGCGTACCTACTATTGCACATAGATACGTCTATGGAAACAACCACTGTCGAGTTATGACGGCAGTATGCGCATGCGCACGAAGATTCCCACGTGGGAGAAAATCTCACGTCCTGGTATCACTGATCCGTAGTAGATAATCTAGATATCTCGAAAATCCACACACACACACACAAGTGTCCTCTCATAATACTTTTTAAAAGATGTTAATATTAATAAAAATAAATGCATCCATTAAAAAGTTACTTACACATAAAGTCCAGTTTCACGCATAAACCTGCATATAATTATTCATAAAGGTATACATAAAGAATATAATTAAGACAAATGCATGGTCATTTTATTCACCGGTTTTTTTTTGGTTCTCCCCACTTTTACGTTTCTCGATACACTTTCGCCGGTATAAGAATATAAATAAATAAAAATAGCTCTCGATGACAAGTGATAATACACGATGAGAAAGGTATATTTATTTATTTATTTCCGATCATATATTCGAACGTAATTAATTAATTAAAAAAAAAAGAGGGTCAAGAAACGATAGTGGGAATAATAAAGCTTATGGAAGGATTACAAGCCGGTTCTCTTACAGTCTCGAGTATATACTCATAATCAGGTTAGGTTAGGTATTACACATATAAAAGAATGTGCTTATGTGTGCGAATGGTTCATGCGCACGATCCCTTCGTTATCGGCAGACAGGACACTCGGGGCACAGACTCGGGCAGTGACTCGAGTAGTCAACACGACGTCAATTCCTTCCCTCGTGTTTTAGCCGAAGGCCTAGAAAAAGACAAATAGACAACCCCGTGGTGGCGCTTCGATCGAGCGAACTGTTGCACTCTGTTCGGAAGTGGCGGCTCGGGTACCCCGGTCCTTGTCCCCCGATTCGTTGGGGATTCGAGAGGAGAGTCACGTCGGCGCGTTATCATCGTTTCAGTAGTAAACACCAGTTCGCGTAAGACGAATCTCGGTTGTCACGTTAACGTTATTTTGACATCCGTCAACGAGATTATTGTAATACCTTTTTTTTTCGGTGGTTGTAGTTCATGTTTTTACTATATATATATATATATATGTCATCGATTAATCGATAAAGAACGATCATCGTCGTCATGATTGTTCGTCGTCGGTGTTTGTTAGAACGCTTTAACGCGTTTCACCATGTGTACAAATTGAACACAAGACTCGATGCGTAATTTGTTCATCCTAGACAAGCATTTTATTTCTTTTACAAGTTATTTATTTAATATTTTGTTATTACTATTATCATCATCATCATCATCATCATCATAGTGGTGTAATTTTTTTTCGAATTCACGTGTTACGAAAGAAGACGAGAACACTTACGAGAAGAGGAAGAAAAGTGCGTGTGCTTTTCGTGCTTTCCTACTGATCGAGATACGGTAAGTTTATATATTATTTTTTAAAATGAAACGATTGCATATAATTTTCATCATTCATTCGTTCTTCTTCTTCTTCTTCTTATTTTTCTTCTTACCTTGTCGGCGAGGTCTTTACGTTCGAGAAAGTCTGGCTTTCTCTCCTATCCTGTTTTTCTTCTTCCTTTTCATCATTCATCCTTTTCTTTCTTATTATTAAAAGAATACTTTAAACGTTGCCTTGAGAAGAACCTTTACGTAGGTGTGGACCCTTTCAACCAGAATACTCCGACATAATTCTTTTATTTTTCTCGAAACATTCTTTGAACACTACGAGTAACTTTTCCCGGTATTTCTTTTTCTTATTCTTTTTTTTTTTCAATACTCTTTTTTTATGTTAGATAAAATATATCTTTAAGTTGTTCGTGTTTAATAAAGAAAATAATAAAAAAAAAAAAAAAATAACTTTAGGGGTGGTTTTTCAAAGCTCACTCTCTCTCTCTCTCTCTCTCTCTCACTCTCTCACCCTTACATCGACGATAATTCTTTTATTAAAAGAACGAAAGAGGTGTAACCCTCTTTTCTACTGCTTTCGCGTAATACCTGATATAAAAGAGTGTTGTCGTCTCTCTATCGAGTTTTATATAGTAAAAGTAAATTACAGAATGATAAGATCAAGATCGTATATAAAAAAAATAACAAAAGTACGTAAGCACGATGAAATTAAGCTACGAAACAAAGCTACCTGCGATGCATGTTGAACATATAACATTGTAAATAAAACGTAAATAAAACGTTAATAAAACGTTAATAAAACTCGGGGGTACGAAATGAACCAATTGGTGGGTTTTACTATTTTATTTCTTTTTTTCTTTTTAGTTATTTTTTTTTTTTTGTATTTTTTTTCCCCCCTAATACGTTCGAATTATTCTATTAGATAAAAACGTAGATCACATTCATCTCATATATCTTTATCTTGTGGAATAAAATTAATATTATTTTATTAATATATATATATATATTATTTATTTTACTATTTATTATAATTTTTTTATATTTTTTTAGAAATATTTATAAAAATAATTTTATAAATTTCTTGTTTAATTTATATTTAATATAAATTACCTTATGTTTATATATATATATATATATATAATTTATTATTATTATTTTACTATATATAATTAAATTAAATTATATTATAATTACATTATAATCTATATAAAGCAATATTTGTATTTTGTCCATATTAATATTCTAAGTATTATATTTCAAAATACAATACATATAATATATCAAAATAATTTGATGGGGGAATCGTGCATTAATGGCATTTTAATTAAATGCATTATCATATTCAAAAAAAATATTATAAATCAATTTCTATTGTATTATTAGTCAAAACGAATTACAGAATGACGACACAGTAAAGAATAATTTCATATATATATATATATATGTGTGTGTGTGTGTGTGTGTGTGTGTGTGAACAGCATTAGAATTAGTATTGCTAATGCACAGGAAAAAAGGGAATATTATGCGTGTATAGAGAAAACTATATCTCCTTGTAGTTGATCAAGTGTGTATACATATTTATTACTATTACACGATTAGCTAGTCCCATCCCATCCCATTGCTATTATTCACAGCACGTTGGTAGCATAGAGTTACGTACCACGTGGTGTGTGATCTTTTTCCTTTCTTTCTTTTCCTTTTTTATTTTTCTAGGAACGGTCAGTTTTGTATTTTGACCTTGAAACTACAATATTTAGACCTTTGCCCTTGTCAGGTTGATGCTCTTCTTTTTTTGTTAATATTACGATTTTTGTTGTATTTTTTTTTTTCATCTTCTTTTTTCACCCTTATATATATATATATATATGTGTGTGTGTTATATGTAAGTGTATTGATTGAACATGGTCAAGAATACCTTAAAACGATCGCGTGCGATCATTGTCGGTCAAAACTATCCTATACGTTCTAACAAAGATATTATCTTAAGATATTTCTCGTCGTTGGTAGTTCATCGATCGATGAAAAGCACGTTCTGTTTAAATATCGTCATCGCATAGTGATTCTCTTTTACTCTTTCGCATGTTCATCGTCTCATAACTTGAGTACACGAATCGGGCCAAGGTTTTCCTTTGGTCCTTCTCTTATACATTTTCATAGTTCGTTCGTAAGTTCCTAATCGAGGTTATAGCTAAGAAGAAAAAGAAAAAGAAGAAGAAGAAGTAGAAGTAGAAGAAGTAGAAGAAGTAGAAGAACAAATAAAAAAAGAAGATTTACACGATTTCGAATTTTTCGCGGTTATGATTAGTTAACGCGTGATTCCTCCAATCATCGTTCTTTGACCTTCGCCACTCTTCCTTACAATTTAAATGCATACATATAATGCAGTATATATATAAAATATTTTTGTATTATATTACTATTAATTTATTATATTACTATTATTATTAATGTAATAATAATAATAATAATATAGTAAAAGTAATAAGTATAATGAATAATATAATAAAAATAAATAAATTATAAAAAATATATATGTAATATATAATAAAATAAAAATTATTATTAATTTATTATATTATATATATATAATATAAAAATATATGTAATATTATATAATATATATATATATATATATATATAATAAAATAAAAATTATTATTAATTTATTATATTATATATATATAATATAAAAATATATGTAATATTATATAATATATATATATATATATATATATATATATATATGATAAATAATAAATTTTTTTAAATATTATAATTAATAATATAATATAATAATATATATGTATAAAATACTAATAATATTTAAAAAAGTAATATAATAAATATATAATAAAAAATTATTAATAATAAAATAAAAATTAATATATATATATATATATATATTGTATGCATTTATATTGCAAGGAAGAATCAGCGAAGGTAACTAACTAATAAACTATATATATAGTTAGGATGTATTTTGTCGAGTGCTTTTACGCAGGCCAGAAATATAGAAGGATCGATATTCGTCGAAAGAGAAAGAAAGAAAGAGAAAGAGAAAAAAGACATCTTGTTGTTCGTTGAAGAGGTTGTCGAGCTTTGGGAACATATACTATCTATATTTACTTAAGATAATATTAGGAACCTTCTACGAAAAAAGGAACAACCATTTTTTCTTACTATCTAGTTATCCTATCGTAATATTGATATAGTATTATCACATTATGATATTTTGCATCGTTCAAATAAGACGATAAATTTTCTATCTCTATCTCTATCGTTCTTTTTCATTCTTTCTCCTCTTTTTCTTCTTCTTCTTCTTCTTCTTCTTCTTCTTCTTCTTCTACTTTGAAAAATTAGTCGTATCACTTTTTAAGTTAACCTTAAAAGTTTTATAAAACGATCGATATTCCTGAACTTACGTTACTTTTTTATTTTCTTTTTTTTCTTTTTTTTTTTTTTCTTATAAGTTTGTGTTTTGAAAAATAATAATAATTATAATAAAAAAAAGATAACTTCGCCATTGTGTTTTTTTTTTATAGA